TGTACACTATCTTTAGCAGCGATAAATAAAATCTGCTTAAAAACTGCTTAGCCTTGCAATTATTGTTGTTATTTTTTAAAAGTTTTTTTAAATTGTGAAGAGGTGAATGAGAGCATTAATTTCTTCCAGGAATGCTTACAAGTAAATAAATTGCTGAAAAACAAATGACACTCCAGAGCAGAAGGAGGTTCCTGGTGTGTTGCTCTAAGAAGGATTTGAGAGTATAAACAGCACCTCCATGACATTCAGTAAAGGGATTCAAGTTTGTGAGACACTACCACCCTCAGACACATTACACAGTAAGCAAACAGGAGCTCAAATGACTGAGCAGTTGAGAGAGAAGGACACACAGCACAGCAGACACACAGCTATAACATGGATGGCGGCTTAGGGCAGCATTTATTTGCATTCGCACATGTTAAAAAAAAAACCCCAGTAGCTCTTTAGAAGATGTTCTGGGAGAAAGTCCTAGAATTAAAGAGTGTAATCACCTTGCTGAGGGATCAGCATTTGTGTAACTGTCTAGTCTGTAAGGCTATGTCTACACTACAGAGCTTTTTTGGAAAAGCAGTCTTTTTTCCGAAAAAACTTCAATTAAGTCCACAGTGCAATTGCGTTCTTTTGAAAAAAACTGAAAGAACAGAGGGTTTCTTCCAACATTGGTAAACCTCTTTCTATGAGGAAGAAGCCTTTTTCCAAAAGCGCTCTTTCTGTAAAAGGTGTGTGTGGACAGGGATGAGGAAATTCTTTCGAAAGAAGAGGAAAAAGCACAGGTGCCCTGGTGGCCACTATGTCCATAGTAATCACAGCTTCCATGTGAGAGAGCATCCACATTGAATGGACGCTATCTTTCAAAAAAGCAGATCGTTTTTTCAATGTACTTTGGCAGTGTGGACGCTCTCTTTCAGAAGACTTTTCAGAAGATCTCTTCCAAAAAAGCTTCTTCCGAATGAAGCCTGCAGTCTAGGCATAGCCTAACTGAAAAAACAGCAAATAGTCCTGTAGCACCTTAGGATACGTCAAGACTACAGGCTTTTGTCGACAGAAGTTTTGTCGACAGATAGTGTCGACAAAGAGCATCTAGACTACATCCAGTTCTGTTGACAAAGCAAGCTGCTTTGTCAACACGACAGTGTAGACGCAATAATGCCTGTTGAGAGAACTCTGTCGACAAAAGGCGTTATTCCTCGTAGAACGAGGTTTACAGCTGTCGACAAAACTGCTGAGTTCTGTCAACGTTATGTCAACAGAACTCAGCAGCAGTGTAGACGCAGGTATAGTTTTGTCGACAGAAGTCCACTTTGTCAACAAAGCTCTGTATCTAGACACACCCTCAGGGTATGTCTACACTACCCCGCTAGTTCGAACTAGCGGGGTAATGTATGCATACCGCACTTGCTAATGAAGCCCGGGATTTGAATTTCCCGGGCTTCATTAGCATAAGCGGGGAGCC